CGGCCGGCCGCTGAGGAGCGCAGCCATGTAGCCGCTTCCTTCGGGACCTGCGGGACCTCTCCCGAACGTTTTTGGGTGGGCGATGACCGAGTGCTGCGTTCTTGTAGTCTGTTAGCGTAAGCCACCTTCTTCAAAGTTAGATCCGAACAAAGGTTGTTGTCAGACTTGGTTTTCCTCCTCGTTTTTTGTTCTGGATTAACGTTTAGTGTCCTGCTAGATTATTGTTTAAATAGACACGTTGAGGATGGTGCTCGTTCTAATGGTGCTTCTCTTATAAGTAATGCTGTTAAATTCAGTGAAAGATCAAAATAAAATTAAGATCCTAAGGTATAGTCAAGAATAGAAGGAATGAAATGTCTTGTCTCCTGCTGAGACAGGGCAGGCAGAAACGCTCGTTCTATTGGCAAGGCATTTAGATCAACGTTGGCCAGGCATACAGCCGTCGCTTCCTATTTTTTTTCTTGATTCTGAGACATGACGAGTGTTTGGTGGGAGAACAGCTGCACAAGCTGAGCTTTGGTAAGCTTCTTTTAAGAAAAGGGAAGACCTCAATAAGTTTACTCCTGTTCTAGAAGGGGTTCTGGAGGAAGACACCCTATGTTTGTGTTCGAAGGTTTCTAAAGCTTTTTTTGCAACCTAGTGCTCCACTGAATGAACGAGGTTGTTCGTGGTGGTTGCTGCTGTGTTGGTTGTTAATTTTCTTGGGGATTAACACCTGGGAAGAAGGGAGTGAAAAAAGGAAGCTTCTAGCAATCTGTTTGCTTTTAATCATTTAAAACTTCATTTAGTTCTGCCTAAAACCCTGCTTCTAACGTTATTATTTAAAGCCAAAGTAAAATTTAGGTCTCAGGAATTTGGTGGGAGTCTTTGGTGACAATATTCTTGTCATCTGTTGGGTGTTTCTGTTGGAAATCCTGACAAATGGCACCTGCATGTATTACAGGCAATTTTGTAGCATGTGCATGACTGTACTGACTTCCCTTGCACGGAATACCAAATCTTTCTTTACCTACAGGCCAGTTACGCAGTAGGCCTGAAGTTTACTGAGTATTTCAGAAAGCTGAGGCAAAGTACGTAGCTTGGGTGATCTTGCTTTCTAGTCCCAAGGTGTTGTGAACAAGCAGATGCTGTTTTGAGTATTTCATTGACATGGCGTTGCAAGATACAAGGGAACTTTTGTTCCTTCCTTCTTGACACTTGCTTTTATGTTCCCCACCTCCTTACCTCTCATGGATTTCCCTCAAAAGATAGCCATAAAACAGGCACCTAAACACTGTTGAGTTTATAGACCTCATAAAGGAGTATGTAATACTAAGGTTTTGGGAGCTGCAGAAAACCGTGTTTCATATTGGAATGTATGTATTTATATTGCTTAGCTTTCCAGTGCTCTTCAGGCATAGACTAGTGTGTTGTCCAAGTTTCCAAGCTAGTTTTTCAACCCGGGGTTTGAACGTTTTTCTGTTATTTTGAGCAGAATTTTCTAAAGACAGTGCTTGTCTAAGTAAATCAAAGTTTAAATTCATGGAGCTGATGTATGCCCTTTCTGATTCTCTACTTTCTGCCATGGATTTCTCATTATGTTTGCTTAATTATTTATTTAATTAAATGCCCTAGTTGTTAAGAAAACTATGTAACTGTTTAAGTCACTGTGTTTTTCATACTCCATTCAGTTGGAAGATAGAAGGGCACCCTTTGATTTTGGAAATTCAGTTGTGACTTTCATTATGAATATGCTCAGACAATTAGAAATAAGACTGAGCTATTTTTGAGGGGGTGAGTCTCTGGGGTTTCCCTTCTGAGTCATGTCTTACTACCTCTATTTAACCTAACTGTGGGCTCAGATGAGAAAAACACACTTTCTGTATTCTGGTCCTCCTCCCTGCATAGCATTTATGAACTTTTCTGTTACTCTCTTCACTTTATTCCACAGTTGCTTTCTTGCACCTGTTAATTCTTTGTGTTTCATGCCACGGAAAGAATTTGTTTATCACTTTTTTTAATTGCTTGTATTTCTCGTCACTTTTCAGGAGTGATTGCTCATTGGTTTTGTTGTGTTTTTTTTTTTTTTATTATCTTTTTAAAACAGTTATTGTCATTAAAATATAAATCACTTCAGAGTTTCCAGTGAATATCTGTCGACATCCATGCACTGCTAGAATTTGTAAGTACACTTGTAGTACACAGTTAGGGATCACTGGAACATCAGATTCCCTTGTTCATACTGTAACTAAACAAATGCATAAGCTTTCAGAAAAGTGGAATAATTATTAAAATTATAACAGAAATGTCATAATAAATAAAATGAGGATTTGGCAATAAGTTATGTGAAACTAAATGATCTGAGGCGGTTTATACTAGCCAAATTTGTTCTGATAGATTGCTGCACAGATAAGTGACCTTGGAAATGCACTGTTTTACTTTCTTTAAGTTTTTTTTAAGAAACCTTAGTGTACATAATACTCTGAGTGATCACTCCTGTCTGTGTATTGACATTATCAAGCCAGATTTGAAAGAAGCTTGAGGATTCTGTTCAGAAACACCTAACTGATGAAATTTTCTCTTTCAGGTGGAAATAAGGATAACATCAGAGCAGGATGCAAGAAGTGTGGCTACCGTAAGTCTGTCGTAAGCAATGTGAAGTTACAGTGTTTCCTTAGAGCTATGATGTTGGAACTGCCTTTTAAGGAAGGGGATAAAAATAAAAAAGAAGTGCTCTCTCTTGTTGCCCAGACATTTATCAGTTTAAATTACCATATTTTTTAAAATTTATGTATTTCCTATTCATTCTCTGGCTTGTAACACCTATTGCTGCCTTTGAAAACCCTTCAGTTTCTCAGAAGGAAAAAAAAAGGTGTGCTATTGTGCTCATGTATATTCATTTGGAATGCAATTACTTGAGAAAGTTTGAATTGAAATCATGGTCTTTGATATCTACTGAGATTAGCATTTGTGCTTCTTCTGAGTCTTACTGCAAATGCAAGCATTTCAGCTCAAGTCCAATCTGTTTTAAAAGAAAAAATAATTTAAAATCTGTAGGATCTTCTATGCTAAGAAAACATACTTCTTTGTGCATTCTGTATTTCAAGAAACAGTTAATTTTGTTACTTTCAAGTTCTGTAGTTAGCATGTAGCTCATGCTTTGCGTTATGCTCTGATCATATAAGCATATCTGTGGCTACTCTCCTGATGAATGGAGACAGGTCTTAGGGAAGATTTTAATTTGTTAATCACTAACTCTTGTTTTTAGAGTAATGGAGGGGTGGACACGGTTTTGCAGTGACTTGTGTTGAACTTTTAACAGAGTGATTTAATGTATTTTTTTAATAAGCATTGTGTGGGGTGAAGGGAAAAAAGCTTGCTTCATTCTTTCGCTGTAGACTTTGTCTCCAACAAATTTTGTGGATGAATTGCTTTGTGTATCTGTTTGTCCAGAGGAACATGGATATCAGTATAGATTTAATGCTTCATTTCTGCATGCAGTAAGTGTCAGAAGCTTTCTGGAAGGGAAGGAAACTTGTAGTCAAATCACACAACCTGAATTTATGTTCCTAAAAGCTCTGTCGTCGAGATGTAGGTATTTGATATGAAGAAGATATGTATATTTCAATTGCTACTTCAATTCCTGTGAATGTGTCTTTAGCTTAAGTTTCTCCCAAACCTATCTTCAATTTGTTTTATTTCTCTTTATTGTTCCAATAGGTGTATTCAGCACAAGGTTTCTAACTCTGATTATGATTATTGAGCTGTCACTTAGAAAACTAAAAATACTAGTCAAGTAGTAGCTTAGTCAGTATTATGTACTGGTTGTTAGAGATTATGTCTCATAAGCAAACAGGATTATTCTGTTTCACCGGAGTGAGACAGAAAAAGCAATATAACATGAGCTGTAGTTTTTTAAGTATTTCACTTCGTGCTTTTAGGTAACTTCTTCAGGAAGGATCTGAGACCATTAAAAAAAAGAAAATAAACATTGGACAAAATATTTAAATTAGAAATAAGAGAGAGGTCATGAAGCAGTATTAAATGGAATAACATTGCACAACCTGTCAAAATTCTTCAAGGCTTTTTCAAAGTAAGCCTTCTCTCTCCTTGTTCACAGATTGCAGCCTAGCCTTTTCTCACTTCTCAAAACTGAAGAATACTGAAATGGATGATCTTTAATTTCTGATATTTTTTTGTTAGATTGTAATTTTAATTTCTGAATATTTGTTTTGTTCAGCTGGTCATCTGACATTTGAATGTCGAAACTTCCTCCGAGTAGATCCTCAAAGAGACATTGTTTTAGATGTTAGCAGCACTAGCAGTGAAGACAGTGAGGAAGAAGAACTACAGAGATTGCAAGCCATGCGTGAAAAAAAGAGTAAGATAGTTTTTTCTTAAAGAATAAATTGGATAATGGTCTTCTGAAGTACTAGAACTCGCATTTTATCCTTTTTGTTAACTACTATTAGTTCTTTTAGGTTGGACTTTAAAAGTAGGTCTTTTACATCGTATGTTCACACTTCAGAGATTTGATACACCCACATCTTTTTTTTACTATTATTAATTCCTGTCTTAGGAAATTAATAATGTACCCATTTAGATCCCCACTGAGAGCAAAAAGGCTCCAAATACAAAAGATTGTAAGACTGCTACTAAGAAGCTGATTAGGAGAAAATGACATGGATGTTCTGAGTTAATCTTTTGATTATGGTGTGTAGTTTAAACATCTTAAAGTTGATAGTAACTCTTAAAACTAACTGCAAATATGACAGCTGAATTTCTTTCCAGTTTCTAAGTAGTGTTTTGATTGAAGCTAGTGAATTCACAGCTAGTGAATTGAGTGTAAACTTTCATACTTGGAGAAGTACTGCTCTCTGTTTGGAAGGTCTGAGCATCAACTGTTTGTCAGAAAGACAATAGATGGGTTATTTAGCAGACACTTGAGTTCATTTGAACGTGGATGCTGAAGAGGCTGTTCCCCTAAGTAAAAGGGGAGGTTGTTCCACCATAGCATGTTTTAAATGAAGGAATATCCTTCCCCTCTGCCCCTTGAAACATCATGTTTTATTCCGTTGCTCTCATATTCCAAACTCATTCAGTTCCTACTAAAGATGTTATTTAGGAAGGAGACGGGATAGATGGAACCCTGTAATTTGCTGGAACACTTCAAAAGAAATGGATAGTCTGCTTGGTAGGAGTGCTGAATAGGTACTGCAACAGTCCTTCCTTGGAACAAATATCTTTGGAAAAACTCATTGCCACTTATTATGTGCTTTTGAATATAAGGATTTTTTTGGCACTAAATTGATTGAAGATGGATATCAAGATGTTTACTTGATCTCGTAATATCCCTGTTTATTGTATGTTCTTTCTCAGACTGTGGCTGCTTTGTGTACTGTAAGGAGATAGATATCTTCATATGTATCAATAACCTAGGCAGGATTCTGCCAGTTTCAAGTGGCCTTATCTTACCAAGAATTTTGCATATTTTTTTTTTTTAAATACTGAACGCTTGTTCACACATTTTTATTCTTGTATTTTAATTACTCCAAAAGTAATTTCTTTTTATAACTCATATTGAATTCTTTCAAATTTCACTCCAGAACATATAGACCAGTAATTTCTATTTGTGGTATCAAATGGATAACTACACTACCATGCAGACTCTATGGAAAGTTACTTATGCAATGGAAATGAGATGAAATGCTCAAAATTAGCTGTTTTAAAGATAAATTGTACAGCAATTATTTTCCTGTTAGCTGACATTGTAATGTGTATATATGTCGTGGATTTGCAGTTCGGAGTATTCAGAAATACTTCCTGAACTAGTGTAGGAAAGTCCAAGGTCAGAAATACCGTCCAGTGTGATAAAAATACTGCTTGTAAGTAAAATGTGAAGATACTATACAATACTATACAGTGTTAGGGCAGGAGACAAACATTAATAGATGAGGAGTGACTCTTCTTCCAATTTTTGTAGACGTTATATTGACAGTTAATGTTATAGCTATTTGTGAAGTAAGAATGCGTGAAAGTAATTCAGCTAAGCCTAACGGAATATTCTTTTTTTCATACATTCTAGTTAAATGACCTGTTTTCAAACTTGGGCAAGTCTTTTAAAATAACAGAAGAATGGATATGAAACCTAAAGCTGATGTAAACATATAGGAAAAGTCACAACTTTTTGCCACGTTTTACAAGCTTTCCTTCATTCTCAGTGCTTAGATCAAAGTCATTAGAAAGTAAGTTGTATAAAGTTCTGCTACTCTGCAAAATATTTCTGAAATTGCTATTTTAGACCAGAATTTGGAGGAAGGAAAAGAAAAACTTTTAACAAGAGTTTTGTAGTAACTTTACATTGCTATTGAAGCCACTCTTTTAATGCTGATCTTAATTCAGACAAGTGTTTTGTAAACCGTAACTTTTTATCCATAGATTTAAATGAGGAGGAAGAAAAAAAGAAACAAAAAAGAAAAAGCAAAGAAAAAACAAAAGTAAAGAGACCAAGAAAAAGGTAACTCTATCACACATGTATTTTAATTTCAAAACAGAACTTCGGAAATATTTCTGGTGTTTGAGTTGTTTCTCAGAAGACATTGCTTTCTTTTGATGCAACTTTTATTTGCAACTGCACCTTTGGTTTGAAAAGCTTCTTGTTTTCTAGTAAGTATTTGTTTGTTCTTTGAGTAATGGTAAAGCCACAGGCTTTCTGCTCTAAAGGTAGGACCATGGAAGGTCTAGAATGCTCTAGCAAGTTGGAGGTCTGCAGGTCTGAGAAAGCAGTGCTCCCTCTTACTGTCCAACACTAGGCATTATGTGGCAGAAGAAGAACAGGGAGTCAGGAGGATTGTGGGCTTGGTTGCCAGTTTAGCTTTCATGGAGAAGCCTCCCTGCAGTTCAGAGATTCTAAGATTCCCTGTGTGCACACATGCATGTGTAGACACATACAAACGTTCTGAGTAACATGTAGATATCAAAAGGAAAAGCTCTGTAGTTTTACTTAGCGTGTGTTGAGTTTTACTGTTCCTGTTACTGTAGAAGCCTAAAGAAACTGTTATTCCAGTTTCAAAGGAAAATGTCCTCATACATAAATTTATCATGAATCTGAATTTTGGCCTGCTGACTGATTTTTTTTTTTAGATGAGACTGTAGATGGATTAGTCATTAGGACTGTTAATGAGACAATATCTCAGGAACTGCACTGAGAGCTAGGCAATGTATAATGTATTTGTAGGCCACAAAAAGATGTTTTTCAGAAATGAAAAAACAGGATTTAATGCTGGTTGCATTGGCATTTTCCCCCTTCCTTATTTACATAGCGTAGTTCTAACTTACACTTATGAAGACAGTGAAAAAGAGTCAGTCTGCTGGCTGTAGTCTTTACATGCAAGTGATGAATAGTTAACCGTGTAAACAATAGCACAAAACTACCCTCTTTACAATAGAAGAAAAGTCACTATTTTTACACTCATCTGAATTCTTGTATATATGTAATCACTCATCACGGCTCGTTCAAGACTAATATTACGCGTTGCAAGAGCATCCAAATTTGTCGGACCTGTTTCTCTTAGATTTTTTTTTTTGCATGAGAGAAATATATTAAGATTTGTCTGAAGGCATTAGTGTAGTGTTGTTATTAATCCTGTGATATTTTAAAAGCTGGAAGCTGTCTTTTACTGTCATACTTTCAGTTTTCTGTCATTCTCTACTCGTAGTCTTTTTCTTATTGAAGGTTGAAAAACACACAACTTGCCTATTCCATTGTTAATTATTCTGTATTATAAACATGCTGCTTTTCTGGCATAATAGTCCAATTAGAAAAGTCATTAAGTTGAACATGCAGACTGAGATATCATAAGCTTTTCAGCAGATACTACTGTACGAATTCTACACCACTTCAATTTGTGGCATTATATATATTCTGAAATTTAAGAAAAACACATTATTCTTGTGGCATTTTTCTTCTTTAATTACATATCAATCTGTATATATATATATATATTTTTGTTTGTTTGTTTTACTAGATCTTCCTCATCAAGCGCAGCTGAAGAGGATGGGCCAAAGTCAAAAAAACAAAAATCACACAAAAAAGAAAGAGGAAAGGAAAAAAAGAATAAATCTAAGAAAGGAAAACATCATAAAAAGGAGAAAAAGAAGAGACGAAAGGAAAAAAGTTCATCTTCTGATAGTTCAGACACTTCTAGTAGTGACTGAGGTGCTGGCCTGTTTTTGCATCCATCCACTTCTGCAGAGGAGGTGATTCTCCTTTCAAATTAAATTTATTTATGCTTCTCCTTGCTGTTGTCTTAAAATGATGTGTATATATATTTTTAAGAAATATATTTGCAAATATCAGTGAATCACATTATTAGATGGACCATTTAGGAAAAAATCTGCTCTTCTATTTCAAGTTTATTAGTACTAAACCATGCCAGTTTAACTAGTTCTTCACTGTTAGTTCAGTTGTGATTAGTTGTATTTGGAACTCTTTGCACTAGGATATGGTAAACTTCAGTTTGCAAGTCTGCGTAGAAAGCTTTGGACTTGAATATGCTTCATGTCAGAATGGTTAAATGGAATTTGGAATTTCAAGTGATATTTTTTGTTATGTTATCCTTTAGATAAATGTATGTTTTGCATAACATTTTCTACTTACATAAATTAATTAGTAAGTGCAAATATGAAATAGTGTTTGTGTCCGGAGAAGGGAAAGAATGGGCAAAGAGAAGCTAAAAGAGATGGCTCCTTCAAAATTATCTTCTCAAATTGACCTAGTCATAGACTGTGAAACACAGTTAAATATTCTTTCTGCAGCATCACTGTAAGCAAGCTGAAAACAAACTGATACAAACAAAATCTATTAATTTTTCGAAGTCCTTTCTTTCTACCTAGGTTTTGTTTTTTTAGAATCATAACCATTTCGTCTTTGACATACATATAAAGTTTCACTTCCTAATGCTAGATGACTGTCCAGCAAGATTGTTTACAAAGTTCTAAGAACCATGTTAATACAGTGTGTGGTGATTAATGCCTACATGAAAGAAAAGAGGATATTCAAAAGCCTGACAAGTGAAAAGAATCTTGAAACCTCTATTCGTTGTAATAAAACTCCCATTGAAAAGTTAAAAAACAAAGCTCTTGTGGAATGTAAGCAATCTGTCATGTTGAAGTTGGTAGCAAAATTTACCATTTGCTATTGGGAGCAGTGTTAAGTGTGTTCTTGTGGTTTAGCCCAGCCCAGCCACTCACTCACTCCACCTCTGTGGGGTGGAGAGGAGAAAAATGCAACCAAAGGCCTGAGGGTCGAGAGAAGAACAAGGACGGATCACCCACCAACCATGGCCCCGGAGAAAAACAGACAAACCAATTTGATTTGTTATCAGTTACTTCAGAGAGGATAAGGAGAAAACAGAAACAGATCTTAAAACACCTTCCCTCACCCGTCCCTTCTTCCTGGCTCTACTTCCTTCCTCCAGCAGCGTAGGGGGACGGGGAATGGGGGGTGTTGCAGCTAAGTTCATCACACATTATTTCTGCTGCTCCTTCCTTAAAGGCATAGGACTCCGCATACTCTTCTCCTGCTCCAACGTGGGGCCCCTCCTCACAGGAAAATATTCCACAGCCTTCTCCAATCTGAGTCCTTCCCGCAGGAAGCGATCCTTACCCATCAGCTTGCTCTAGTACAGGCTTTGCCCATGGGTTAATAGCATCCTAGGGTGCAGCCACATGCACCTCTGCTCCACGGTCAGTGTCCAGCAGTGTGGGAAGTTCTTCCCTCCAGACAATCCTCCAGGAACTCTCTTGTGTGCAGGCGTCTCCTCCAGCGTGGGGTTTTCTGCAGGCTGAACATGGATCTCTGCTCCACTGTTAATCTCCACGGGCTGCAGAGGGACCACTGCCGTCTCACCACGGGCTGCAGGGGA